AGCATCAGCAGCATCAGCAGCATCAGCAGCAGCATCATCAGCAGTAGTTAGCAGTAGCATCAGCTGAGTAGCAGAAGCATCAGCAGCGGCATCATCATCATCAACAATGGATTCCCCCCCCCCACGTGCTGTCGTGACGTCACCTGCTCTGCCCCTCCCCCCCGTTGTGACGTCACGTGCTCTGCCCCCACCGTCGTGACGTCAACCGCTCCCCTCCCCCCACTGTCGTGCCGTTACAGCTCCCGCCACCCGCGCCGTCGTGACGTCACCCACTCCCCCCTCCCCCGCGTGCTGTCGTGACGTCACCCACACCCTCTCCATCCCCCACCGTCGTGACGTCACCTGCTCCCCCTCCCCCGCACGTGGTAGGGGGGTGGGAGCCATGGGCGGAGGGGGCGTCGTGTTAGGTTGGGGAGGGGGCGTGACGTTGGTATAGGGGGCGTGGCATTGGAGATAGAGGCGTGGCTGTGGGCGTGGCGTGGCATCTAGGTGAGCGTGGCTTTGTAATAATGGTCATCTCAGCCAACCCATAGTACCTGCTGGGTTTGTCACGTGACCTCCTCCTCATGCACCTAGCCTGGCACAGCAGTCAACTCATGGCACCTGCAGGGTCTGTCCCGTGACCTCATGCACCTAGCCTGGCACAGCAGCACAACCCATGGCACCTGCAGGGTCTGTCACGTGACCTCCTCATGCACCTAGCCTGGCACAGCAGCACAACCCATGGCACCTGCAGGGTCTGTCCCGTGACCTCCTCCTCATGCACCTAGCCTGGCACAGCAGCACAACCCATGGCACCTGCTGGGTCTGTCACGTGACCTCCTCCTCCTCATGCACCTAGCCTGGCACAGGTGCCGTGGTGACGTCGCCACCACTTTACTGGCGAATGGCGACTGTTGGTTTTGGAGGTCTGCGGTGTAAGTAGCAAGCACTTGCCCCGACAATACAGCCTAGCTGGGGGAGCTTTGTCTTTGTGTGTGTGTGTGTGTGGTGGTGGTCAAGCCCTTGCCCCGACAGCCTCGTGGGAGGCTACCTGGGGGAACTATGGCTTTGTCCGGATCTGTATAACTTTATTGATGTAGGCGTAGTGTGTAGTGTATAGTGTAGTGTATAGGGGAGTGTATAGTGTATAGGGGAGTGTACAGTGTAGTGTATAGGGGAGTGTATAGGGTATAGGGGAGTGTACAGTGTAGTGTATAGGGGAGTGTGTAGTGTATAGTATAGTGTATAGGGGAGTGTATAGTGTAGTGTATAGGGGAGTGTATAGGGGAGTGTGTTGGGTAGTGTATAGTGTATAGGGGAGTGTATAGTGTAGTGTATAGTGTATAGGGGAGTGTATAGTGTATAGGGGAGTGTATAGTGTATAGCGGAGTGTATAGTGTATAGGGGAGTGTATAGTGTATAGGGGAGTGTATAGTGTATAGGGGAGTGTATAGTGTAGTGTAGTGTATAGGGGAGTGTATAGTGTATATGGGAGTGTATAGTGTATAGGGGAGTGTATAGTGTATAGGGGAGTGTATAGTGTAGTGTATAGGGGAGTGTATAGTGTATAGGGGAGTGTATAGTGTAGTGTATAGGGGAGTGTATAGTGTATAGGGGAGTGTACTGTGTAGTGTATAGGGGAGTGTATAGTGTATAGGGGAGTGTATAGTGTATAGGGGAGTGTATAGTGTAGTGTATAGTGTAATGTAGTGTATAGTGCAGTGTGTAGTGTAGTGTATAGGGGAGTGTATAGTGTATAGGGGAGTGTATAGTGTAGTGTATAGTGTAATGTAGTGTGTAGTGCAGTGTGTAGTGTAGTGTATAGGGGAGTGTATAGTGTATAGGGGAGTGTATAGTGTAGTGTATAGTGTAATGTAGTGTGTAGTGTAGTGTATAGTGCATTGTGTAGTGTAGTGTATAGGGGAGTGTATAGTGTATAGGGGAGTGTATAGTGTAGTGTATAGTGTAATGTAGTGTATAGTGCAGTGTGTAGTGTAGTGTATAGGGGAGTGTATAGTGTAATGTAGTGTAGTGTATAGTGCAGTGTGTTGTGTAGTGTGTAGTGTATAGGGGAGTGTATAGTGCAGTGCGTTGGGTAGTGTATAGTGTAGTGTGTAGTAGTGTATAGTGTAGTGTAGTATGTAGTAGTGTATAGTGCAGTGTGTAGCAGTGTGTATAGTGTGTATGGTGTACTGTGTAGCAGTGTGGTGTATAGTGTAGTGTATAGTGGTGTATAGTAGTGTAGTGTGTATAGTGTAGTGTGTAGCAGTGTGTATAGTGTACTGTGTAGTAGTGTATAGTGTAGTGTGTACAGTGTAGAGACTCAGACACCCATCGAGACGCAGACACCCATAGAGACTCAGAGTGACCCACAAAGACCCATAGAGACTTATTGAGACTCGGAGACCCACAGAGACTCATACGCACCCACAGAGACCCATACGCACCCACACAGACCCACAGAGACTCCTACTCAGAGACCCATACAAACCCACAAAGACCCATAGAGACGCCAACAGACTCATAGAGACCCACAGAGACCCATACACGCCCACAGAGACCAATAGAGACCCACAGCGACCCACAGATACTCAGACACCCATAGAGACTCCAATAGACTCATAGAGACCCACAGAGACCCATATGCACCCATAGAGAATCAAAGAGCCTCAGACACCCATAGAGACCCACAGAGACCCACACAGAGACCCACAGAGACCCACACAGACCCACACAGACCCACACAGACCATCAGAAACCCACACAGACACAGAGACCCACATAGACCCACACAGACCCACACAGAGACCCACACAGACCCATAGAGACCCACACAGACCCACACAGACCCACACAGACCCACAGAGACACACACAGAGACCCACAGAGACCCACAGAGACGCACACAGACCCACACAGACCCACAGAGACCCACACAGAGACCCACAGAGACCCACAGAGACCCACACAGAGACCCACAGAGACCCACAGAGACGCACACAGACCCACACAGAGACCCACAGAGACCCACACAGAGACCCACAGAGACCCACACAGAGACCCACAGAGACCCACACAGAGACCCACAGAGACCCACAGAGACCCACACAGAGACCCACACAGAGACCCACAGAGACCCACACAGAGACCCACACAGAGACCCACACAGAGACCCACACAGAGACCCACACAGAGACCCACACAGAGACCCACACAGAGACCCACACAGACCCACACAGACCCAAAGAGACCCACAGAGACCCACACAGACCCACACAGACCCACACAGACCCACACAGACCCACACAGAGACCCACAGAGACCCACACAGACCCATAGAGACCAACAGAGACCCACACAGACCAACAGAGACCCACAGAGACCCACACAGAGACCCACAGAGACCCACACAGAGACCCACACAAACCCACATAGACACCCACACAGACCCACAGAGACCCACAGAGACCCACACAGACCCACACAGACCCATAGAGACCCACAGAGACCCATAGAGACCCACACAGACCCACACAGACCCACGGAGACCCACACAGAGACCCACACAGAGACCCACACAGAGACCCACACAGAGACCCACACAGAGACCCACACAGAGACCCACACACAGACCCACACACAGACCCACACAGACCCCCTCTGTCTCTCCGCCGTAACCGCCCCGCGTGCATGATAATAGATGCCACGCCCCCCGCCCTTTGTGACGTCACCCCACCTCCCCCACCCACCACGTGACACCCTTTGTGTAAGTATTAAATAAATTATTGCTCCCTCATGTACAAGCGAGGTGTGCTGGATGGATGAGGTGTGGAGTGGCCTGGCTGATGTTGACACTGCGGTACAATGGTGGTGGTACTAATCATTGCAGCCGCTAATGATGAGTAGCTATTTGGGTTTCTGAATTGGAGGGTTGCGAATGCACAGAAGCTGCAGGGTGCACGGGAAGAACTCACCCACTCACTCACCCACTCACTCACCCACTCACCCACTCACTCACCCACTCACTCACCCACTCACTCACCCACTCACCCACTCACTCACCCACTCACTCACCCACCCACCCAGTCACTCACCCGCTCACTCACCCACCCACCCAGTCACCCACTCACCCACTCACCTACTCACCCACTCACTCACCCACCCACTCACCCACCCATACACCCACTCACTCACCCACCCACTCACCCACCCACTCACTCACCCACCCAGTCACTCACCCACCCACTCACTCGCCCTCTTACCCACCCACCCACTCACCCACTCACTCACCCACCCAGTCACCCACTCACCCACCCAGTCACCCACTCACCCACCCACCCACTCAAACTCACCCACTCACCCACTCACCCACCCACCCACTCACTCACCCACCCAGTCACCCACTCACCCACCCACCCACTCACCCACCCACTCACCCACCCACTCACCCACTCACTCACCCACTCACCCACCCACTCACCCACTCACCCACTTACCCACTCAACCACCCAGTCATTCAGCTACTCACTCGCTCACTCACCCACCCGCTCACTCACCCACCCGCTCACCCACCCGCTCACCCACCCACCCGCTCACTCACTCGCCCTCTTACCCACTCACCCACCCAGTCATTCAGCTACTCACCCACCCGCTCGCTCACCCACCCGCTCACTCACCCGCTCGCTCACCCACCCAGTCATTCAGCTGCTCACCTACTCGCTCACTCACCCGCTCACTCACACACCCACTCACCCACCCAGTCATTCAGCTACCCACCCACTCACTCACCCACCCGCTCACTCACCCACCCGCTCACCCACCCACCCGCTCACCCACCCACTCACCCTCCTACCCATTCACTCACCCAGACAGCTACTCACCCACCCGTTCACTCACCCACCCGTTCACTCACCCACCCGCTCACTCACCCACCTGCTCACCCACCAACTCGCTCACCCACTCACTCATCCACTCACCCACCTACTCATTTACTCACCCACCCACTCAACCAAATACTCACCCACTCACCTACTCACTCGACCACCTGCTCACCCACTCACTTGTTCACCAACTCACCCACCTGCTCACCCACCCGCTCACCCATCCGCTCACTCACTCACCCACTCACTCACTCACCCACTCACTCACCTGCTCACCTACCCACCCACTCACCCACCCGCTCAACCACCCAATCACCCACCCGCTCACCCACCCACTCACCCACCCGCTCACCCACCCACTCACTCACCCACTCACCCACTCACTCACCCACTCACGCACTCACTCACCCACCTGCTCAGCTACCCACTCACCCACCTGCTCGCCTACCCACTCACCCACCCACTCACCCACCCGCTCACCCACCCAATCACTCACTCGCTCACCCACCCGCTCACCCACCCACTCACTCACCCACTCACTCACCCACTCACGCACTCACCCACGTGCTCACCTACCCACTCACTCACCCACCCACTCACACTACCACCACAGGGGGAGAGAGAGTGAGACTGCAGACTCCAAATCTACAGCAGCAGAAGGCATCGTCCGGTTCCAGGATCGAACCCACGACCTCCTGCGTACCTGGCAAGGTAGTCAACATCTCCTAGCCACTGTGGTGTCAAGGTCCGGGATCAAACCCACGACCTCCTGTGTACCTGGCGAGGTAGTCAA